AAAAAAAACGTTGCCCCACACTAGGATTTTCTCCTGTGTCGTGGGTGCGTTTACAAACATACAAGTTCACATACACAATGACACCCAGACCCGAAACAACAATTTGTGGATCACACAAAGTGTTGTCCCGTGCGGGAATCGAACCCGCGACACGTTGCACGGCAGCCGGTTGCCCAGCCACCGCACCAACCGTGCAGTCGAATCAATATTTTGTAACTATATAAGACTTGACTGAATTGTAAGATGTTTTGAGGACGTTACAATACATATCTAAATAAAATATTTATTTTTATGTGTCCTTTAGAATATAGAGGTACATGCATATTCAAATGGAAGAATTGATTTTTTAAGATGACTGTCTTTTAAAGTATTTATGTTCATTATATTTATAGTACGCAAGTAATGCAAGTTTAAAATCGAATTTTTCAATGATAGCTTTAAATGTGCTGGTAAAGGCTCGTCACTTAGGACCAACTGTACATACTGTCAACTACTCTAAGATTTCATAAAACCGCTATTAGCACTTGTATCCAGTCTGGTCGTAGGGTACGATGGGAAAAGAGCCGCTGTCTTAAAACAGTCGAGAGAAGGTCGCACGGCTATATGGGACCACACATTTACTCCAAACTTAATAACCAACTCAAAATTCTACAACTCACCCATAATGTATGTAAAAACACGGTTATAAGGTGGCTTCTCACCATGGATTACAACATGATTGAAAACCTCTTAAGTTAGTAACAATAATCATATAAAAAAAAAAAAAGTAATTGGTATTCACTTATGTGACATATTCACATTTCCAAACATGGATACGTACACATACACACGCTCTACATACAACAGATGCACACACGCACATACGCACACATACACACGCACTACATAAAACAGATGCGCATACGCACACACACACGCACGCACAACACACACATTAACTTACTTACTCACTTACATCCACATATATTCATACACACACACAAAATACACATTTATATTTAAGCGTTATGATAACTTTTCTTTTTGTACTGTTTGTTAGGGAGCCTGGGCCTCACGACACAGGGAATCCTATTGTGAGGTCCAGGATACAACAAAATTGTAAAACTTTTCCTTTTTGAAATAAACATTTTTATTATTTATTATTAATTATTTATTTCTCAAAATAAGGACCTGTAAACGATTCATTATTCTGAAACATAAAACACCACGTCATATTGATTTACCTACTCAAAATCAAACATGTATTATTAAATAATAATAAATTAAATAACAGTACATAACAGTTGTTGATATGCAGCATCAATGATTCAGTTCACATTGTGATGCAGCATCAGTTTATTTATTTATGCATCAATACAACCGGTGTAGTCCATAATAAACGACGTTTGTTGATACCGCGATAATTATTGTTGTGCTGAATGTGTTAATATATTAATTGATACGGTGTGTGTGACTTTGTTATGCGTAGATGTATTGGTTTGTATAAATATGTATACGAAAGTGGTGTATAATTATTTTATGTATAAATATTGTATATTGCACATTAATTAAACTTTGTCCACTTTGTATTTAACTCGTCGAGTACCGGTTTTGTAGACACAATTATAGAACAATAGGTTGCGGTCACCGGTGACCGCTTGGTGTTTGACAGTTTAATAAAGCAGATGAGGCATTACTTTTGTAATAATTATCATCATCAACGTCCAGTCGTAGACCACTGTGGTCGATGCCAAATGCGGATTCGATTTCGCAGTAGAATAGTTTCAGGTTTGTGGCAGACTACCTGATCTCTGGCATACTTGCTGTCACTTAGTTACAATTGTTATGAAAACTGCAAGTTAAGGGTACATTAGTGCCTTTAATGATATATAAAGCCGAAACGTGGACACTAACAGTGCGACTGGTCCACCAATTTAAGGTAAAACGATCTATGGAGAGGGCTATGATCGGAGTCTTTCTGCAGAATAGGATCCGTAACGAGGTGATCCGACAGAGAACTAAAGTTATCGACATAACTCAAAAAATTAGCACGCTGAAATGGCAGTGGGCCGGTCACAATTGTCGAAGAACCGATGACCGCTGGGGTAGACGTGTTCTGGAGTGGAGACCGTGTCTAGGCAAACATATTGTAGAGCGCCCTCCAGCTAGGTGTCGCCATCCGCAAAGTGGCTGCCAGTGGTTTGATGCGTCGAACTGAAGATCGAGGTCAGTGGCGTGCCATTGGAGGGGCCTTTGTCTAGCAGTGGACAAGAACATGCTGTTTATGAAAGAGTGCATTACATGTGTATAGGATACCCCAAACTGGCAAACGTCTATAAAGACTGATTTAAACACATCTTTATAAAGCATCAAGCATCTGTACACTAACAAAAATAAAACCAGACAACACATCACCTCATCTTATCTTATATCTTATTCTTATACTTTTTATTATATAAAGCGGAAGAGTTTGTTTTATTGTTTGTTTGGTTAAACGCGCTAATCTCCGTAACTACAAGTCTGATTTGAATCATTCTTTTTGAGTCGGATAGCGCATTTATCGAGGATGGCTATAGGCTATAAAACATCACGCTACGACCACGCTAGCAGCTGAGCAGAGCGTGTAAAAAATAACATCAAACAACTCTAAAGACTAAAGCTCCAGGTTTAATCAAAGAAACTTGTCAAGTAACAAGTATTAGTAAAACAATATTGTTTTATTCCTTCAATAAAAGGATTAAATTCAATATAAGTCGAGGTACAACTATCTGCTACTCATCGAATGTCGCTTGTAAGACAGTTTCATTTGTCAAAGACGTCGTGTTCTAACGGTTAGGTGAAGTTGATGACTCAATAGTATTCTTTGTAATGAAAAGACTTCTACTTTTAACTGTGGGATTCATAACATAACATCACGCCTTTTATCCCCGAAAGGGTAGGCAGAGGTGCACATTATATCACTGTACAATGTAACACCCACTTTTCACTATTTATGTTATGAGTCCCATGAAATAGGGTGTGAGTGTATTGCCATATACCGGGCACATTTTCAGACTCAGTGTTACTACTGAGATTTTTTAAAAACTCGAATCGAACTCGAGACTCTTTGCTCGGCAGTCATACTTGCGACCACTCGGCCAACCAGGCAGTCGGTACAAAACAATACTTCAATAGAAAACCCATAATATGTGCAAAAATACTCAGTTCATTTCACCCCAAAATGCAAGAGCCTAAAATATCATATATCAAAAGTTAACCACACAAAAAGTACCCAATAACATATTATATTATCATAATAAACCCCATTGTAACCGCCG